TGAGTGTCGCAGGACACTCTCCAGTATAGCTCAATGGATCGCTGAGGTGCGCAAACCGTCACACCACGGTAAGGTCCAGTCTCTTTGTGACGGAAGGTGAATATACCGAATTAGGAAATACCTAGTGGACAATCACGAGCCATACCTCAGTCCTTTCAGCTTTTCATCAACTTTTGTGCAGTTCATGTAGTTTCATGTGCTACGCATGCCAAAACACCGTCTACCGAGACGAGTGTTGTTCTCCGTGCCTCCTTCAGGATGGCGCAAACCGCGAGGTGGACAGCACATGACTTGGCAGAAAGGTGTCAAAGAGATCACGAAGAGTTTGGGTGTTGTTGGGGTTGTGCGACTTCCAGGATGGGGTCCCTGTGACCCCATCTGTGCTCTTCACTGTAGGGCTTTTAATACAATTATATATATATATATATAACTAGGCAAACCTTATGGTTGTACAGCAGTGAAGCGTCAGTGACAACACTGATGTTGCTGTCCTTGATAATGATGATGATGATCATCATCATCAACTTTGCTTGGGAAGCACACGTAAGCAGATTTTAGGTAGGATGGCAAACAGAATTTATGATGAAATTCTCAAGGGTTAATTATTTAGCCACTCCCTTTTGGCTTAGCTCCTATGTCCTTGTAATCCATATTGGCTAAAACCACTGTTCATCTAGGCTAATTCGGTTGAGAAGTACAATTCCTTTCTTTTCGTTTAAACTCCTGAGCCGACTGGTAACTAGGTACCTGTTGAATCTTTGCCGGATACGAAGTATGTCTGAGTTTGTCTGTGATCTTATCAGTCAGTGACGATGTTGTTTCAATTTGTCACAGGAAAAGAGGAAAGAACCATGGAGTCTCCCGAAGTTCTCAAGTTTGATCACTTACATAATAAAGCTCTGGACAGATCTCCGTCTAACCATTGACGTCCGCAATACTTAACTTCTTTCCCCTTGCTTTCAACAAGATTTACTCAAAGTCCATTTATACCACTGGGTTTCACTCAAAGACCAGTAAACAAAATTTCATTTTCAACAGTTTAATGATAAAAACGAGATGATGATGACCGATGATGATGGTGTTGATGATAATGATGATGATGATGCGAGGGGGATCCTTGCTTTCAACAAGATTTACTCAAAGTCCATTTATACCACTGGGTTTCACTCAAAGACCAGTAAACAAAATTTCATTTTCAACAGTTTAATGATAAAAACGAGATGATGATGACCGATGATGATGGTGTTGATGATAATGATGATGATGATGACGAGGGGGATAGCTGACCACTATTGCATATTGTAGGACCACAAAGTAAGATCCACTCTTTATCTCAGTGTGTGAATGATCCACGCCTTTTGAAATCATCAGCCAGTCGACCAGTATAGCAGATTGGTGGTCCATAGGTAATCAAAGGTTGCACAAAGCATGGAACTAGTTGACATATTAGCGCTCATAAGGCTGCTTGATACCAAGCTTGACGTTCTGTGGCTCATCGTTTACAAGCAGCCACCGATTTCCATCACTTCTATTACATGAGTTAATGCTGAATCAGAACGATGAAAAGTCAAATGCTGGTTTTCCACTTAAGGTTGTACCAACGTGATACAAAGGTCGTTCCGCGTTTCACCCTGGCTGAGCGATTCATTTGCGTCCAACTATATTGCCTTTCCAATTGACAACTAAGCGCAAATATGGATGAATATTTCTGGAACTATGGGATTGTCCACCTGAAGAGCCACTAAGTACAACAATCAATGGGTCATGGCAGGACTAAATTATACGTGAATTGTTTATTTTTCGCGCAGAATTGGTGTGAATTCGTCGGGCGGTAAATGCTTCAGCTCTTTATCGGATTCTTGCTTCATAGAACTCAGTTCCCCATGTGGGTTATCGGTTTGAAAACTTCAGCTGACAGCTCAGGTACTTGCGGTCTGAATTCCCAACAAACCCACGTTGTGCATTTGTCTGAAACCCCCCTCCATAAATCCACTCTATTTGCTCTTCCGTCATCCACTCCAACTCAATCGCGCTTGAATATTCGGGATCTGCTGCGTCTCAGTCCAGAAGGCGTAATTCCGAAGCTTTGGATACGTGCCACAAAGGAAAACGGAGTTCCAAAACGTTCACGCAATGGGTAAACTGAAACCGATAAAACATAGAATAAGCGACTATCATGAATGGGCTGCATCTTGGGTGACTCAAGATGGTGTTTATGAGTTAGTGAGGAGTTACATACTCTATTTTAGTGAAGATGGGCACCTGCATGGCTTGGCCTTAGTCTAGAAATGCCATTTGAGGAGTGTCAATATATGCCAATGAAAAATTATGGAGTTGTGAAAACGGCACGTACAAGAAGTGGTACTAACGTAAATAACTTTCACGTTCCTACTTACTGTAACGTTTCATATGTTTTGGATATTCGCGAAAGTGAAACACAAGACCTCCGCGCAGTAAATTAGACTGAAAAATGTCACAAGAGACGGGCTCACATGATTCTCACTTTAGCATGTTCGCCTCGAATAAAAATACTCAGAAATGAAATATAAACGCTTTAGTCTGATTATCGTAACGGCTCACTTGGATTTTTTGCGACTATCGGGACACTAGTAGCTCTAAATTATGTATCCAGTAAGGTGGTCCTCACTCAGTAATCAATGAAATAAATGTTTTGGCGACTCAGAACTTTTAGGTATAGAGTATACCTTTATAAGAACGGTTTAATTAAGGAGCATTTTAGCCCCTTTATATTCACGGAAGAATCGTGCATCAGCAATGGAATAAAGTTACTGAACCACATTTTCGGGTTTTCGAACGTAAAACAACAACATTCAAACACGAATACAGCTGATTTTGCTGTTTGTCTTTAAAGTTTCTGAGCGAATCCAGATTGTACCATGAGGTGGTGCGCAATTAATTTTACCAAGCCAACACCTATCACCCTCGATTTAAAATTAGCATGGCCGGAAATTTTCCACCCAGTTTCTCGCTGGAATTTCTATATTTTCCGAAATCTGACGTTTTATCATCCCAATCTCATTCGTCTCTCTAATGTAGCAATATTTGTGCTTAGGCCGAATATTTAAAACGCAGTCAGAAGCGGCTGAAAAGGAAAATACTCTCACAATGACAAAGTCATCTCATCCTGTAAATCTTTTTTGAGGCTCATCGCCAGTAGTCAATTAGATAAAAATGGTATGCGCACACGTACACTTGATCCATAAACATTTTGGTCAACTTCGTTACTGCAAACGTAATGACAGAATAGAGTTATTTTAGTGAACAGCTTTGGATGAAAGCGTTGTTTTTTTCCTGTTCGTCATTCACAACTTCTCGGCTTTCCAGTTTTCATTTACGAAATGAAACCTCAACTGAAAATCCCCGTATCCCTTTATACTAGCAAAATTTAGTAGTGATTGTTGACACATAACATACCGGTTTGTCGTGGTGTCCCGTTTCAAACATATTTCAGGCACCGAAGCACTAACTTTCCACTGTTCTGACAGACCTAACAACTTAAGTGAGAGGTTTTGTTTTGTTTATAAATACCCTATGGACAATACCTTCAAGACAGAAATATTTTTGGTGGTTTCGTAGGCTGCTTCACATACAGGGGGGTGTTGTAATTTCGTTCTGTCAGAAGTTTTCTGAAACCTGGGGATTATAATTAGGTAGCCAGGAGCTACAGTAGCTTTGTTTTGGGGTTCTGGTGTGACCAACAAACTGGGACGACTGACATTCTTCGTGTGACGAATTGCTGAACTTGTCAGATGACTGGTGTGACGACCGCTACTTAGCAACTTAGGAGTCAGCTCAAGGTAAACAGTGCAAGGACAGACAAATACGTAAGTTCGAGAAATTTCTTTCTACCACTTGTTATTCTACACAGCAGAGAAGGTCATCCACTAGCTATTGTAGCGTAGTCATTTTATCAGATAGACCCTTAAGTGAAGAGGAACGTTGCCTGTTAGAGAAAGGATTAAATTTTGCAGTAAGTAAGGACGTTATAAGAGCAGAAGGGATCATTCCTAGCGTTGAGTCTGTATTCCAAATGATTCCTGCAATGGAAGCGGAAAAATTACGTGTACAGTTGGTCACGGTCCTGAAGTCCCAGCAACCAGGGCTTCCAAACATTGCACCAGCTGAGCGAAGAGCCTTAAACACGTTAAAAAATGTAGACAAGTAAGTAATTACAAAGGCAGATAAAGGTAAGGCGACGGTCGTCATGAATGGGAGTGACTATCTTCAGAAAGTTAGGCATGTGATAAGGGGCAAGGCAAGTGGTATCGATTGTGCCCAAAAAGTGCAATCCAACCACGACTTTACGGGTTGCCGAAAATTCACAAGGAAGCTGTCCCCATAAGACCAATAGTGGATGGCATAGGTTCACTACCACGTTTGCAGACCGACGTTTTTATGACCTACTCGGTAATACGCTGTTTGAGCTGTGAAGTGAATAAGAGCAGGAGGTGCAAGTATTGCTTGATCAGTTTACTGAAGTCATCCAACCCTTCGGCGCGTGCTTCCCCCACATATTGCAAAATCATGCTGCAGGACGTGCAGTCTTTGAACGTACCTCTAACAGTTCCAGGGAGGTTTGGTAAACAATCAGTGGACTTGTTGCTGGGCGACATTTCGCTTTTTATACAAAAGCTTCGTCAGGCCAAGTGGTCAGGTTGATCTGGTTTCACGACAGTCAGGGAATCAGTCCGTGTGATTTTTTATGACTAGCCGACTTTATCTGTGCTGGATGTCCGTCTGAAGTTTCTGTTTGTTGGTTAATGGGAATGACCAACACTTATGTCAGAAAACTCTCAGTGGGCAGTCGAATCTGTCTAAAGCTTTCTGTTCGAAGTCTTACATCTACATATTGGCTAGAATCGGAGATATTGGATATCCCTTCGCGTTATGTAGATGATACGTTCGTTGTGATAAAGCGTGGTGAAGTTAACGAATTCTTTCAATGTCCTAGAACTTTGAACCATCACATAAAGTTTAGCATGGAGTTTGAGTCCCTTCCTTGACTACATGACGCGCAAGAGTGGTGGGGAATTAAAAACAACTCTACCGGAAATCAACAAATAGTGGTGCGGTCCTCGACATACCGGAAAGCAGTATATGCTAGCATACTTTCAACGACTTTCAGTTGAGTAAGAGCACTGTGCACAGATGAGGTTCACCGAAGAGCAACGCAACTTGAGGTGAAAACGTCTTCAAGACAATGGGTTTAATAAAGAGGCAACTAACAGGTAGCAAACACAAAAATCCAACAATGAATGGGTCAGAACAGCAGTCATTCCATACAAAATGCGGCTTACATTTGAGTAGCATTTCCGAAGGGGAAAAACCTTACGCTCAGTATTGGTGCAGTTGAAGGATCGCCTTATGGTT